ATTTTTCAACTTCCTTTCCAACTTCTCTTACAACATTTGAATCTATCTCAAAGCAACCAATCAAGTTGTGAATGCTATGGTTATTATTATCCATATGGTTACAATGCTCAATTTTTTCTTCATTATTCTCATTATCTACAATTACACATGGTGTGATGATAATAAAGATGAATATGACAACCATCCTAATGATGATGATGACAATGCAGATATGGAGGGTGATGAAAATAATAATAGTGAGGAGGAGGATGATAAGGGTGATAAGGATGGTGGCAATAGTAATGATGGGGTGGTGAAAATATGGAAATCAATTAATTTTATTAAAATAATAATGATTATCATATAACAATGATTGTAAACCACCAGATCAATCCATTTGAAAGAATAAAAAAAGTAATCAATAGTTATTAGTTGATGTGATGTTGCATACATATCCTTTAATAATTTATTAATAATAGTATATTAGTAGTATTGTTATTGTAGGAATATCAACTAGAATTATTTCTATTTTCTAAAAATAATTAATTAATAATACACTGTCAGATCATTTAACTGTTGACCTTGGGAAAAAGAAAATATAATTATACATACCTTTTAATCATAGTAGTAACATCAGTGCTTGTAATCTTGAGATAATTTTCAATTGATATGATTTTAACTCAAAATTTTACATAAATTATATATATATATATATATATATATATGGTGCAGACTGCAACAAAACCAGACAAAGTGAACATTGGTATTACCAAAGATTTCAGGGTCAATTATGAATATAATGTGAATATCACTTTATTTTATTTTGAATTATCGAAAAAAAAAATATTTGAAGGTTTTGCAATGCACTAAACATTAAATAAATTTCTTATTTGTCGTTTGATTATTCTGCTCTTATTTAATATCGCATCTTTAGTTCTATTTAAACCCAACCGATTGAGTTTTCTCATTTCAATTTTTTTGTCTAAAATAAATTCTACGAGAATATTGATTTCATGGCGTGACCATCTTTTTCTTCGACAATCTTGTGAATCATTATTTATTTCAATTCGGTTATTATGAGTTGATTGATTGCTAATATTATCAGTCATTTCAATATGATTGTTGATATCAATGTCATTATTATCAGCAATCTCAAAGTGATTGTTAACATCGGTATTATTATCGTTATTCATTTCATTATGGTTGCCATTACGATTATTTAAACGTGAATCAGTGCTATCATTATTATTGTTGTCAGTTATTTCGATGTCATTGTTAGTATTAGTATTAGCGTTATTATTGTCAGCAATCTCAAAATGATTGTTAACATCGGTATTATTATCGTTATTCATTTCATTATGGTTGCCATTACGATTATTTAAACGTGAACCAATGCTATCATTATTATTGTTGTCAGTTATTTCGATGTCATTGTTAGTATTAGTGTTAGCGTTATTATTATTGGTTATTTCAATGTGACGGTTATTATCGGTATTATTATCATTATTCGTTTCGTTATGGTTGCCATTAGGATTATTTAAACATGAACCAACGTTATCATTATTACTAGTTATCTCAAAATGATTGTGATTATCGGTATTATTATCATTATCATTTATTTCCATACGATTATTATTACTTTTATCATTCGAATTTGAACCAAATAAATTATCATTACGTTCATTGTTATCGTTATTAATGGTCATTTCCTTTAAAAAATTTAGGTTAGTTAAGTGATATAGTAAACTTTCATTTATTCCTTAATAATATGTGATATACCATTTCATATATACTCTTCAAAATTAAAAATAAATCAAAAGGAATGATAGGTTTTATGAGATTCGAAATATCTACGCTATCAATATCATTTAAGAGCTCTGATAGGTTAATTATACGATTTATTTGGTCAAGGTTAAGATTGGACTGCTTCGTGTTGGTTTGCTTCTTTTTGTTTTCTCTCCTGTCGTTGAGACATATTTTTTTTAAAAAATTTTTTTTAAAAATTAAATTGAAAAAATCTTATGATACACAAACACACAATATATAGTATGGTTGTACAAAGAAGCCCCTATTGTTATTTTTGGTGACGCGATTGAATTTTTTTTTTTTTTTTGGAAAAACAATTTATTTTTCTCTTACAAGACGAGAAAGCGCGAATGTTGTTGTTTGGCATGACTTGCTCTAAAGAAGACATGTTGTTGTTTATTGATGACGAGAGGTACACTATTTTTTGTTGCATTTTATTATTTTTTTTTTATTGTTTTTATAAATATTGATATACATGTATTGATTCTTTTGTATAAATATTATTGCAAAATCAAACTGTTGAAGTAGAACTTGTATTTATGAGATTCTTTGATGATAAATGATTGGTATTGTTTTTGTTTTTTGTGTAATCATCACTGATATTAATATTACAATTATAAAAAGATGATAAGGTGATATGATAAAGATGAGGAAGGAAAGGAAACATTTTTATATGCAACATTTGATTATTGGACACTTTACAAACATCAAAACATGAATGTTACTATGAGTGCATTACAGTCATTCTCTCATGTTCCTCATGTACACAAGGCTAAATTGACCTCATCCCCCCAATTATACAATGATGCAATTAAATTCCAGGGGGGGTAGTATGGCTCTGTGCCAACCTTATAAAAAAGCCTTCCAACATGTTCAGGTTGGTTTCACTCATGGAAAAAATTCTATGGTGCTGAAAAGTGCTGAATCGCACAACCCTGCATGTTTGTGATAAGAAATTTTTTGTTAAATCTGACACCT